TATCAAATAATATTATTTTGTGAATATTTCTAATATTATTATTTATCATATAACTAATATATAAAACTAAACTTGTAGCCAGATCACGAGACAGCGACACTTGACATTTTAACTTTTTGCCAAGTGTCGCGCCACGTAGGCAATAATTAATCATTAGATTATTTGACCGTAATTGACATTCAAGTATAAATGTTATTTTAAAATTTTATCAACCATTTGGGCATCACTCGGGCACAAAACTAGTAACTAATATATAAAGCTAAACTTTTAGCCGGATCACGAGACAGTGACACTTGGCATTTCAACTTTTTGCCAAGTGTCGCGCCACGTACAAAAGGCCCGGATCCAGAGAGGTACAAAAGGAAAAAATAAATAATCGACCTTTTATTAAATATAATCGCTTTCTTAAGTCTTAACATGCAACCAACCTTTCCCTAGATATTTGAAGAAAATGAAAAGAGATCACAACTTTAGACAATTATTGTTCTGTTTGGTTTTACATTATTACTTCTAATTTTCTTAGATTGTCAAGTGATTATTAATCCATAAAATACCCATAAACGGACAAGTATGATTGTCTAAGTGATTTTTAATCCATGGGTAGAAAATTCAAATAACGTATAGATTAAAAGTTTTATTTTAAAATTTAATAAAAAAACCTGGGCATCGCACGAGGCACAAAACTAGTACTATATAATTATTAAACTCATGGGATTACATGCTATGATGACATGTGTCATTGCTATGTTGGCATGACATGACATGACGTCACATGGGTATGACATGGCGACTACACTTTGTAGTAACGATTAATTTATTTATACTCCCTCCGTTTCAATATGATAGTCCCATATGGAATCAATCACATAAAATAAGAAATGAAGAATATTTGGAATCTAATATTAAAGTACAAAATCAGTTCATTAAATTTTTTTGAATTTTTTTTGGGAAAACATCAATCATAATTGCATAATTCAAGGGAGAGATTTCCTTACTTAGAGCTATGTTATCAATCAACAATCAATTAATTTAATCAATCATAATTTAATATGTATAAAATAGGAAATAAAAACTAAGTTAAAAATGAAATACATTTAATATGGGTAGATTTTTTGAAATGCCCAAAATAGTATATGGGACTAACAAATAGAAATGGAGGGAGTAATAAAAAAAAAACTCTTTATATTCATAACCTCCCTATTTAATCTCTTGAATGTATCCCCTTAGTAATTGCACAATAGCCAACCATCTAACTTGAAAAAAAATTAATCATACTACTGGTGGTTAATTCCTCAAAATTGGATATCAATTTCCTAGATTCAATACCAATCAAGTGATTATAATATAGACTATAGAGTAATATTTTCTAAAAAAAATTAATCATACTACTACTTTAGCTTTTGTATTAACTTGGTTTTGAGTATGACCTAAAATTTATAATTCTTATTTATACTATGTACATAATACGATTTTTGTTATTCATATCTCCTACATTGAACATATTATTTCTTAGGTAATCAACATAATATTTATAAAACTAGAAAAATTCATTTATAGATAGCTGGCCAATTAATTAATTTACTAAAAAAACTAGCTCGTGAATGCCTTTCGTGCTCTTTCTCTTTTGTCAAGCGAAGTGGTAATGGTGTGGCTCATGCTCTAGCCAAATTGAGTTCTTCTTTTGTTGATCTTAGAGTTTGGATGGAGGAGGTTCCTAGTGATATAGCCAATATTGTAATGGGTGATTTAGACCCTTAGCTTTGAGTAATAATATTGCTTAGATCGTTTTCCGGTAAAAAAAAAAAAAAAAATCTTTTTATAGTTATATATGAACTATTTGGTCATTGTTATAGCACTATCAGTCACATAACCCCAAGTAATGTTATATATTCAGCTGATATGTCATTAATCATACTAAATTAAATAGTATTTTTCAAAAATTGAGTCCCTTTCATTGTTTTTGTGCATTCAATCATACAAGTGTATTCATATGATCATATAGCTACGTAGTTATAGAGTAATATGTATTATAAAGGTTTGTATTATACAATTGATGTATATATTTAAAAAAAAATGTCTATCATATATCCTGTCACTTATTAATATTGTTGAATATTAACCCACTTAAATTTAATTTTGATCAAAATTACAATTTTATAATGATTTGAGGCTTCGCCCAAACCAATAACTAGTTTAATTTGTAATTGTTAAAGAGTATTATAATGATTTCATGTATATTATAGTGATTATGTTACCATTAAATACTCTCTTGTAACACTATAAATAGTTGTATCAAATCGTAACTACAATCAAGCTTTTCGATATTGTCATTCTTATAACGTAACTTTACCAAGATGGAAGTTAAACTAGTTTGTGCCCATGCTAACGCACGATGCTATAGAAAATCAAAAAGAGTTGTATATAAAACAATAATTAAATTTTAAAAATAATTCTTATAGAATTAGTATATACACTATGTAAGACTTGATAGTGGACCTAAGCTCATATCAACTTTGTCACTAAATTTTCTGCTAAAAAAAGACAAAGAGACCCGTTATAAATGGCATAAGAGACCATCTTAGACGCCGTCTCCAGGTTACTATAAAGAGACCCCCTCAATTAAACCGGCCTGTTGTGTAAGGTAAAGGGTCTATTTCCATGTACCTAAATTATAGTAAAACTTTTAGAAGGAAAAGAGATTTGTTATCTTACCTAACCGCTCTTAGACCAATGTAAGAGACCTATTGGGTTAGATAACTTGTCTTTTTGATTTTTATTTTTTTTTAATCCAAATAATCCGTGGTCGTAAGGAAGAATTTTATTTTATTTTTTTTAGAGTAGAAATCTATTAATTAGGATAACAGTTCTCTTACTGCTATAATTTTTATTTTTTTTTAAATCGCCAAAATGGCAAAATCCAAAATGTAATATTTGTACCTACACTGTATTTGTTCATGCATATTTACTCCATAATTTTATATTCCATAGATCATATATTAATGAACCAAAGTTGATAAATACTTTTACAAACATTCATCAATTCTAATTTAACCTTCAAAAATTCTATACAAAAACATCTACTACCTCCATTAATTTTTATGTGCAACTTTTACTATTTTTGTTCGCTAAACATTATGTGCAACTTTTTATTTTCTTTCCTCTTTTAGTAAAAAAAAACTAGTCAAATGTCAATTTTACCATCATTTAAAAAATTGAAACACAATTTACTAACTATAATCAGATTTTATTAATCACTAATTCTCATCTAATTTTCACCCCAACCACCCCAATCTAATTCATCAACTCTTCTTCTTCAATTCAAGAAACCCAAAACCGTCCTCATTCATCTTCATCTTCCCCCATATTTTCTCTCTCCTCTTTCAAAACCATCTTCATTCATCTTCATCTTCATCTTCCCCCATATTTGCTCTCTCCTATGTCATCCTCATCCTCCCCCATTGATCTTCTTTCTCACTCTTCAACTTCTACCGGCGGTTTCGTGGGTTTTCGTGAGGGTGGTGGTGGTTTCGTGGGGTTGGTACTGGTGGTGGTGAAGCCCGCGTTGAAGGCGGCGGTGGTGTTGGTGAAGGCGGTGTGGGTCGTGGTTTTGGGTTCGAGTTGGGGGTTTAGTTTCTGGTGGGTTGGTTTTCGTGGGTTGTCGTTTTCGGTGGGTTGGTTTTCGTGGTTCCGTTGATGGGTTTTGGTGGGTGGTCGTGGATTTGGGTTTTGGTGGGTGGTTGTGGATTGGGTTTTGGTATGTGGGTTTTGGTGGGTGGTCCTGGATCTGGGTTTTCGGTGGGTTTTAGTGGGTGGTTGTTGTTCTGGGTTTTGGTGTGTGTTCGTGGAGGTGGTGGTTCCGTCGGTGGGTTTCGGTGGCTGGGACGCTAGATGGTTCTTTCATTTGAAGGTTTTTTTTTTTCTTTTTTTAAGATTTGGATTTCGTGGGGTTGTTTGGAGGTGGTGGCCAGGATTTTTGTGGGTGGTACAGTGGTGATTTCGTGGAGATGGTGGGTTTTGTGAGGGTGGTGGGTTTCGTGAGGCTGGTGGTGGTTTCGTGGGGTTGGTTGTGGTGGTGGTTTCGTGGGGGTGGTAGTGGTGGTGGTGAAGACGGAGGTGGTGGTGGCTGGTCTTGGTGGTGGCAGTGGGTGATTGATTAATTATCCAAACATTCTCTCTCCACCTTAATTACATACCCCTATAATACATTAATCACCATTATCAAGTTTTGCCTTGTGAACCGTAAAGCCTATCAAAGTTGCACATAAAAATTAACAAGGTAGTAAATAAATTCCAAATTTTCCCAAAAACATAATCAAACTAATTAAGCAATTTCCATTCCATCTAACTTAGCCTCCAAAAATACTGTATAGAAACTCGTAAAAATTTCCTACTTTTCCCTAAAATATCTGACAAACCATTCTCTTAAAGTATTGTCCTTACTATCCTCATTTTCTTCATTAGCATCATCTAGTTCAAACGAGCATTTAAATTAGCACAAGAATTTTCTTTCTCACAAAATTATGAAGTGGCGACTGATCCATTTAAAAAGTTGTATGAGACAACAAATCGAGAATGTGCTAAAGTGTTACATCTATGTATTTAGATTCTTAGCCCTTCCCCGATTAATTCTTGTTTAATTTTGTTAAATCTGTTTTCATTATCGTTAATTTTCAATTGTAAATATCGTATGGCTTTATTTAATGTCCTTTAGGACTTCTTTAAAAAAAAAAAAAACAAAACAAAACAAAAAAAAAAAATCATCAGACGTGAATATCATTATTATTATCAACATGTGACAACAGAACTTAGACTAACTAAATATAATTAATGGTATTAATTAGATAGATTCTAGGATTAAGTGAGCACAAAAGTTTGAAATACGTAGTACTTACAGATGGTATAAATTGACATTTCAGCCCTTTCATAGCCTCATCCAATCTGCTATATTCACCAATTAATTTCCCAAACACAAGATGCAAATTAACTTACTCACAGGCCAATTCAGTAATCCAAAGTATGGACAGACAAGATTGTTAGAAGTAAGAACTATATCCACAATGCTCACAAAATAGTTAAAAAGAAGTTAAGGTACCAGGTGGAGGACGTGAGAGGTCCAATGAACTTGAGCTACAACACCTATATATGTTACAATCTCTTGGCATCACCATTTTTCAAGTCTAAGGAACCACTTGTGAGCTGAGAGTCACCACTGGAAGCTCGATGTTGTGACACAGGCTGCTCATCAGTTTTGCAGACTAAATTACACCAGACGGCCCAGTTCCATCATATGATAAGCACTTAACATCATCCTTCTGAAGGCTAGTACTTGCTATCACAAAATTAATGAAAAGCAGAGGCAAGCAATCAATATGTCTTAATTGCAGCTGAATTATCAATTCATGTGTCCACAACAAAATCTTCCTGGGAATTACTTGTTTTCTCAGATTGCCTCATGCTGCCATTGAATAATACAACTAATTAAGCATGCAAAAACACCTCTAAAAGTAGGAAGTGAACAAATGAAGAACATAACAAACATATACATACATTAAGATTTCTGCATAAGATCGTCCACAAATACATGAAGAGTCTTTTGATTCATTGCTACTCACCTGTTACAAAATTAGTTAAGGAGCATTAGATACTAACTAAAGCCATCATGATATGATTAAAAATATTCAAATTAAGATCAGAAAAGTTTAATATATTAGGATAAGCTAGTGATCACGCAATCTAAGAGAAAAAATCAGCTAAAGGCAATTTTAACAGTATATAATTGCTCCAACCCTCTATCACAAACACCCCGGGTTGTTAGAAGAAACAGCTAGTCTAGATTTTAAGCCTGAAATAGCCAAATGTTAGCTGAGAAAACATTTCATTACCGTACCCAGAAGAACTGGCACTAATAAGGAATCTTTAATCAATCCTCAATTCTCTGCAATTAAGTATAGCACCTAAATTTTTGGATAAGTAGATTACTGTGATTAGAGATACTGATCACTATTAAAATTTAAAACCTTTTAGGTCCTAAACAGTGGCCTTTACCAGAAGGCTAAATATTATACAGTCAAATACAATGCAGATCATCTATAGAGCAAAAACAGGAGCAGCTAACAGGACGTTCATACAAGAAAAAAATACGAATGCAGAATTAATGCCCCTTGTTGAAGTCAATCCTGCTCCTCCCGGAGCCACCATCATAGCCTTCTCGTGTAGACCCAGCGCTTGCTTTCATTGTACCTCCGCCACCAATTTTGTCCATGGCTTTCTTACCCTTCTTCACTTCAGTCAAAAACTGATCCAAACCAAATGGATCAGCCTCCTCAGCAACTTGCTCAAACTCAACAGGTCTCTCTCTCTCACCACTCTTCTCTGCAGTTCCAGTGAATCCCTTGTCGGGTTTGAACCTCTCCGTGTTCCTAATCTTCTCAAGCTGTTCATCAGCTCCGCCATACATTTCATTATCCATATCTTTCTTCGGCTGGTATAGAGTGGAAAGTGTAGCTTGGGCGGTGAATAAGCCCTTGTCATATACATTGTACTGGTCATCAGCAGCAAAACCAGATTCCATCCCCTTCTCTTGGTTGAACAAACGCTGATCATACATGACTTCACCTCTTCCAGACCCAACGGACGCCATACCAAGAGCAACCTTCTCACTAATATCACGATCCCTATCTCTTGTAATCTTACTCTTCTTTCCCGTAGCAGCATCTTTGGCCTCCAACCTTCTCTCCCTCTCCCTCTCTCGTCGCCGTTCCTCACGAATTTTCTCACGCCCCAACCTCTCTTCCCTCTCCTCTTTTGCCTCCCTTGTAACTTCTCTCTCTCCTCTGCCAACATAATCAGATCTCATGTCATCGTCCATATCCATATTTCTAGCAGATGTAGCAGGTGCAGCCACAGGAGCTGCAATACCAGTCCTCTCAGAACGTGCTTTAGCAGCCAAAGCACGCAGCTCCATCTCCTTCTTTTCCTTTTCCTTCATTGCCATCTCCTTTTGCACCTTTGATCTCATTGCCACAGCTTCTCTCGCCTTCTGCTCTGCAACATACAGGGATTCAGAAAGCTTTGCAAAATTGTCATTGATCTGAACGTCTTGAAGGCCCCTTCCATCAGCTGCAAGTCGCTTATCCAATGGAATGGTGTAACCCTTAGGATTCTTCCAGTTCGAAATGCAAGGTGGAATCTTCCAGTCCTGCTGATCTTTCACAGTCACAGGACGAGGTGGTGAATGCATCACCGGCACAGGTGGTGACCCCGAAGCCCTGGGAACCCTCTTGTGCTTGAACTTGGGAGGTTCAAGAGGGTCCACCGGCATCTCTACCATCCTAATAATTCTCTCTTTCGCACCAGAATTAAAAGCCTGAGCTTGCTGCGACGGCTTATACTTAATAAACTTGGAATCAGACGAATGCTTAGGCACATTCTTGGGCTGAGCAGCACTCAACCTCACATTAACTATCCTCTCAATAGCAGCTTTAGTAGCTTCCGTAGTCTCTTCAATCTCTTTCTGCAGCTCCTCCGATTCTTCCTCCGAATCAGACTCCTCCCCCCTCAAAATCTTCGGTACAAGATCCCTATGTTGCGAATAAACAATCTTCGACGCATTCTCATTCTGCTTCACTATATTATCAAATGCCACATTCCCTTTACTATCCACAGTAACAGGCAATATCTTTGAAGTTGGTGTCTTATCCCTGCCCATTCCCAAGGGATATTGAGCAATATGAATCTCAGGGAACGCTCCACCATCGCCAAAATCTTCGGGTTTTCGAGGTTTATACCCGTCCCGTTTTAAATAGGGAGGTACATTATACTCCTTAGCAGCCAAAGCCTTCTCATCCTCTTGAGCACTAAATCGATTCTTGAACCACGGATCATTTGTGTGGTCGTACTGCGTCGATGTCGATGATTTTGCCGGTGGCAGTTTCATTGGCGACATCTTTCAATCAATCAAACAAACTCCAGAAAACCTCAGATTTATCTCTAGATTCCAACAATTTTACTGCCAATCAACAAAATCGAAAGATAATCAATCTAATGAAACATATGACTTAATTATCAAAGTATGCTCGTTAAATTGTTCGAGTATTTATAACCTAAAAATAGTTCAATAATCCGAACCTCAGTGTGGAACTAAACCGACAATTAAATTAACCAAAGTGGAACTAAACCCTAGATTTTGAAATTGATATTCAACAATGAAACAAAACTATCGGGAAAAACTATCTTACCTCAGAAGCTGCATCAATGAAGGAGAAAAGCGAAGAATTGCAGCGGCGCAGAAAGTGAAAGAAATTCAAATCGGGGCAAAAATAAGTGAAAGCTAAGAGTCGCCTTCGAATCTCCAAGTAACGCCCGTAAAATAACCTAAAATGACGTACGTAGCCTTATTATAAAAATATTATAAAACAATTATTTTTACCTAAACTTAACACTTTTATCCTACACAAAAACTTTTACCGTTCTCTCTAGTGTTGACCGGCTACCAACGATCACGTTAAACCACCAACCACTGTAATTTTCAAAATCAAACAAATAATTTATATTTTGCAAAACCTAATTCGTTGAATCCCATGCAAGACAACAAAAGATCGGAAACACCACCTACGTTGCTCGCCGAACGCTCGTCGGACCGTACGGAATTGGTACGATTATTTAACTTTTTTTGTTTTCGAAATTTCTGGCTCCCAGAAATTTCGAAAAACCTAGGTAGAAACGCCTAGTTTTTTCGAACACCCTAGGCAATTTTGAAAAAACTAGGCGTTTCTGCCTAGGTTTTTCGAAATTTCTGAACGTTTGCCTGGGAATTTCGAATTTATTTTCTTTTTGGTTTTAAATTTCACGTATTCGTTATTATTATTACTTTGATTATATTGGCTGTGTTTGTTATTATAATTACTTCTGTTTGCTATTAGGCATCGTAACTTTTATTTTCTACATTTTTAATTCCCCAAAAATCGAGTAAAAAGCATTTGTAGCTATAGAGATGGGCAGAGTACATAAAAAATTATGAAATTTGCTAGACCAATATTCTAATTTGCAAGATCATAACTAATTTATATTATGTGCTTTGATTTTTCTATATTCAATTAAAGTATACTATAGGGAAAAACAAATTATAGTTATATACTATGAATTTGTTTAGGAGGGTCGTTTTGAATTACTCTACTTAATTAATTTCATGTCTACCTTACGATTGTGTACATAATTCGCATTTATCGTTTAAATGTGTTCAAATCAACAGCCTATACTATAATATGGTGCAGAATAAAATGGTCACTTTCATATTCATGAAATTGTTAGTAAATAATTATTCTTGAGTAGAATTTTTCATATTCTTGCATTTGTTAAAAGAGAAGGGAATTAAAGTACTTGGAGAAATGAAAATCATATGCATAACCAACTTAAGAGTTGTTGATGGTATAATAAAATTCTCAATCGTTTATAAGTGCGTGATCACACCTTTTAGTTGTTATCATAATTAGTTGTGTATTGTTAGAATTATTATTATTAGTTGTTATAATTATTAATTGTGCGTTGTTAGATTATTATTATTAGTTGTGTTTTTGTTGTTTCTCAACTTTTATTAATATTTGTTTTTATTGTTATTATTATATAGGATTCTAAGTCCGAGGATGGTGATGGTGTGGACTATAGCGGACATTTTTTTGACAGACACTATGTTTCCGAGTTTTGAGGATGCTGTTCTATGGGCACAAAAAGTTTGTCGACCGCTCGGATTTATGTTAGTGAAGGCTTCTTACAAGACCGATCGGAGTGGTCCGTATCGATATGTGAGTTGTGATCGTGGAAAAAAGAGCATGATAAGAGACATGATGAACACGATACGCAAAGAAACAAAAAGCAAGGCAAACAGTTGTCCCTTCAAACTCAAGGTTGAGTATGTTAGAGTAGTAAGTGGTTGGAAGCTCAGTTGCTTGAACGACACTCACAATCATTCTTTAGTTGTGTATCCCGAGGGACATCGACAAATCAGTAGTCTTAGTCTTGCTGCTAAGCAGGTAGTACGTGACATGACTTAGGCACAGGTGCCACCTCGGCATATCATGAGAACTCATGTAGAAAAGTTTCCCAGAGACCATCCAAACATAAGGCATGTCTACAACTGCAGAAGTAATATCAGAATGGAGCGATTCGAGGGAAAAGAGGTGGTTCACTAGGTGCTTCATTTGGCCAGACAGAGCAAATAACTCACTCGGGTTATGACTGATACCAACAATGTGTTGCAACATGCTTTCATGGCACACCTGATCATGACAAATTTGCTATGTACATACCCGTACTTGATAGGTATGGATTCCACTTACAAGACGAACCGATACGGCATGCCAATCTTTGAGATTGTTGGGGTTACACCGACAAATCATAACTTTCTTGTTGCATACGCATTCATGAGGTCGAAGTCCGAAGAAAGTTATCGGTGGGTGCTTCGGTGCTTGAGGTTGTTGATCGGTCATCATAGAGAGTCGTCGGTACTACTGACAAATAGGGAGCTTGGCCTTTGTGCGGCGTTGAAGAGCGTGTTTCCAAACACAAGACACATGTTGTGTGTGTGGCATATTAACAAAGATGTTGAGGCGAAGGTTACTTCCATGTTTGAAAAACAGAGGGAGATTGGTGCCAAGTTCAAAAATGGGAGGTGGAGGCATGTGATTAATGCTACATCTGAAGAGGCGTATAAAAGAGAGCTTGTAGTGCTGAAAACCAAGTGGGGTCGATGGCCAAAAGTGATTGACTATGTTGTGGACACTTGGCTCATACACAAGGAGAAGTTTGTGATGTTTTGGACGAACCAGGTACTGCACTTTGGCAATGTTAACAACTGTAGGGTTGAGAGCCAGCATTCGACATTGAAATGTTGGATTGATAGTTCTACAGGTTCTTTAGACACAGTTTGGGCTTAGGTGCACAACTCAATTGAGAACCAAATCATAGCCATACGTAATGGGTTGGAGGCATGTAGAGCAACTCATGGTAAGAAGTACAAGCAGAAGCCTTTGCATCAGCTGAACGGAAAGGTATCCCACTATTATTTTTCTATTCTTCTCGGTGAGACGAACAGGATGTGAGGTTTGAGTACAGATGTCCATCAACATTGTGGGTGTGCTCTACGTACTACCCACAGGTTACCTTGTGCGTGCCAAATATATGACTCGATTACTGCAGGGAAGGGGTTGTATACGTAGAACATTCATCCATATTAGAGGACCCTTGTCATGGGAGCGGGTGTCGACATTCCTGATATAGTTGATGAAAATGATGAGGATCGAGCTTATTTCCGCACCCTTGTTGATCAGGTTATTGCCAGCGACCCTGTGATGCTTAGGCACGTGTCTCGAGTGATTGAGGGTAAAATGGATCCTAACTACGATGACCTTCAGGAGCCTCGAGTCAACCCCTGAGTAAGGGGACGACCTCACAAGAGAAGGAACAGGCGAGATCCTTCGTTTTTCAGGCATGTTCAACGTAATGGGCGAGATAATCGTTCCAGAAGTAGACCACCCCCATCTGATACAGGTGATTATCGATGTATTTAAATAATGTTTTTATATGTCGTATATTTTAATTTATTTTGTGTAATAACTTAATTATATGTCATATTATGTTTTTTATTTTGTAGGTACTGGGTTCGACATACGACAATGCAGATACAGCTACGCGATTCCCAACATTATTTGGCCTTACGTCGTAGGTGTTAAGGACGTAATTGGAGATGGGAACTGCGGATTTCGTTGCGTAGCAGATTTTTGTTACGGAGATCAGGAGGAGTGGCGATTGGTTCAACATCATATCGCAAATGAGGTTGGTTCTCAACCTTGGATGTACAACATGATTTACTACAACATATGGGGTCAACAGGTTGGTTCAGGACTGTAGAGGGAGGTAGACCGGATCAGATGGGATGGTGATGCGTGTGGACAGGAGCATTGGATGGTAGCACAACAGGATTTTTTTGCTATTGCCACAATATGGAATGTGGTAGTGATTTGTTATGGAGTAGGAAATAGATCATCGTGCTACAATCCATCTACCACTGTTTTACAGTTGAACAATCGTGGACGCTTAGACAGTCCTAGTGCAGAGTTCGTGATTGGAACAATTGGTGGATCGCATTTCATTCGTTTGCATATGGATCGTGACCACCCACTTCCTCCAATTTCACCATTGTGGTTTAACGCTGGTCAGGCAAGTGTATACAGATAGGAGGCAAGGTACGAGAGAATGCTTCAATTGTGGCAGACATTAGTTAGCTCTTGAGTACCGTTGAGTACTGTTATGGATTTTTATTAAACTTATATAACTTTATTAATAAACATGATTATTTATTTATTTTTTTTAAGCAATTCTTTTTAAAATTTACTAAGTAAGTACAACGTAGTTAGAAAATAAAATACTAATATATAAATGTCAACTTGATAATTTCCAACAAATGTGATAAAACATAAATGTCCACTAACAACATCCAAAACATAGTCTAATAAAACAACAAAGTCAAAGCTAAAATACATATTACAACTAATCTCTAAGTCCATTTATCGCATTCCAATCAGCAATCACCTGCTCCAACATTGCTCTGGTGTCCCTTGATAGCGTAGGGTACTCACTAAGTGATCGCTGCGCCGTAACCATGAATCGCCCTACCCACTGCACAAACCATTATAATTGTGTATTAATAGTAATAATAGGGAAAAAAAAATTAAATTAAAAAAACTAACAAAAAACTTACGTAATCAACGTTGGTCTATCAGGAAGACCGACATCATCCTCAACATTAGGAGTGACGATAGGATGGCTAACTCTGATCTCCCAAACCATGGTAGGTAGTCAGGGGCACAAGCATGTCCGCCACGTGGAACTCTAATATATCCACCAAGAAGAAGACTGAACGTTGCATCGAGGACAAATCTATCTCACATGAGAGTGGTCATCTGAGCTGAAAAACTAACCCTATAAGACTTCACACTAAGTGGTCTCTGAGCATCATCAGGCCTAATCATGTCACCGAGAATCTCCTGTATAAACCCCAACCGTCAAACAACTCGATCGGGCATATATGGCTCTATGATGCCCCGATAGCGAATACATCCCGTAAACATAGTCCTAGGCACCTGTTGTGCAGGAAAAGCTCCGTACGACAACCAGCAAACCTGCAAATTAGTACAAGTGTAAATCAACTGTAAATAAAAGCAATATAAAACAAATAATAATTACATATCTATTTATACCTCATGGTCACCCAGCTGGTCAAGTCGAATACGAAAGGACACGAGACGCTTTTGATGCTTCCGCATCATACCAACATCCCATAACCCTGCACGAGCATGAGGGGTGTCTCATGTCAACACACCTTGGTGAGGCCGAAAACATGGAAAGTACTCGTATATCCAAGCCTGTAGAAGAGTCAGACAACCCACGATAGAATCACATCCATTTCAGGTGGCATGCCCGAGCTGACGATACAAGTACGTTAGTGTGGCTGAACCCCAGGAGTATCTCGTCAACCTCTCCAGGTTATCCTCCATACACAACTCACTGAGAAAAGAAGGGTGAGTATGGGTACCGCTCTTGTCAGTAAAGAGCGTGTTGCCCAAAAGGACCCACATGTAACCAATGGCCTGAACCGCCTCCGGCTGCTCCTCACTACGACACCTAACAATAATCTGGTCAGTATGGACACCACCGTTCCTGTAGATGGCATTCTGAGTCTTGACCTGTAGCTCCTCCGGAGTCAACTGTAACAACCCACCTACCAATGTCCTATACTGGTCACTAGGGAGATCACCGGCAACCATATCCGCATCAACCCAAATACCAAGTATGTGGTGTACGTCGTGCAACATGATGGTCATCTCACCAAAAGGTAGGTGAAATGTGTTCGTGTCTGGCTGCCATCTCTCAACAAAAGCATAAATCAAAGGAAAATCAAGGTGGTCGTGTATAATGCTAGGCAGGTGCGACAACCCAGTCTGCCGTATCCGCGTAGTAGTGGCAGCCGTAAATCGCTCTAGCCATTCAGTCAAGTCTCTACACACACCAGCTCTAGTATGACACCGTAAAAACCGTCGATCTTCCCCATCCTAAATATACCGAGCAACATGGGCCCCTAAACTAGGAATAACACTCCCATCCTCCGGCCCACAGTCCATCGGCCCCTGAATAAGCCAAGACGCTGCAGATCAAGGTGGTCGGGAACTCATAAATCTCCTATTAAGACCTCTCGTCACGACAGGCAGCTGCTCCTCAGCATCAGCCTCACCCTCATCTTCATCATCCTCTAGCCCATCATCCTCGTACTTCGAACCCGAACTCGAAGTCCCATAATCATCTACTACCCTGTCGCGCTCCGGTACTGAACTGCCTTCCCGTATACTAATCCCCCTATCTCTCCTAGTTGACGTGTTAATACCGCGTGATCTAGCATGCCGTCGACCAGAACCCTCAACTACATTCTAAATTTAAAATAAATTATAATATTTATAATAAAACAAAATAGGTGATACAAACAATTGAAAACAAAAGAAAACCTATAATGTGTTCTATGTATCATTTTAATAAAATCATTACGAGTATTAAACAATAATAAACAACAACAACAACAACAATAATAAACAACAATAAAGAACTGCTGCTTATGTTTTATGAATACAATATCTTCGTATATTATTATGAGTATATTCTATACACCAAGTTAGAATATATTCTATACACGATCAGCTTCGTATACATCCTTGGTGGTTTATACGAATTTTTTTTATTTTTTTTTAAAAAAAGACATAAACGCCCACTTTTTTCGCCAGATCTAGGCTGAAATACCTAGATCTTTCGAATAACCGTATGGGTGATCGAAATTTCTAAGCGTTTGAGCCTTGATCGGGCGAATTAATTGGGCGTTTCTGCCAAAAAAAAAAATAAATAAAACTGACCTTGTCTCCGGCGACTCATTCGACGATGGCCTTCCCCTTGTCCCTCGGCATATCCACGCGAAATTATATTAAGCTAGTATAAGGAGGTGGTGTGGGGT